CTGGGATCAGTTGGCTTTTCCTGGTGCTGCCATTTCCATTGCCTGGGACATGCGGATTCCCATGGGTCTCCAGCAGAGGCTTTGGTTGCTCTAATCCTGTTCACGTTCTTGCATTGAGAATTATTTGTAGCTCGGAGGGCTGAGTTCTGTTCCCTTTTTTTTCCCCTTGGATCTCTTCGGTACCAGTTGCCTTTTCATTTTTGTTTTATTGGCCTGCGCAGAGGCTGCCGGCTGGATGCAGGTGAGTGGGGGTTTCTCTGCTGCAGTCTGCAGAGCACAAGCATCACGATGCGACTGCTTCATCCTGGCAACCGCTTCCTGGTTTTCCAGATGATTCCAGCCAGCTCTCTTTGTGTTGAGCCTATTGTCAAATGCCACCACAAAGACTTTGGGACATTAATCCTGTCATCTGTTCAGCGCATGGAACTGCTGAGCAGGCTGTGAAGTGAATGGGAAGCCGGGCCTAGGGAAAGGGGGCTGGAGCGCAGGCATGTCTGGAGAACATCCAGAATTCCTACCTTTCTCTGAATCTACTGACCGCATGTGAAACTTTCCTTCCGCGTCTCCCACAGTCCCCAATAGCCAAGGAATGCTCAAGTGCAAAGGTCCGAGGCCGGTGGGAAGGCAGGTGGATTGTGAGACGAGCTGGCGGGAGCGCGATGTGTCCCTGTGTCCCTTTGCAGTTGTCCTTGTGCTGAAGGAGACTCTGAAAGTCACGTGTGGTGCTCAGGAAGCACAGTCAGAGCAAACGGGAGGGCAGGTCGAGCACTTCAAGCTGAGGTCAGGATGCAACACCGGGACTAAGCCAGGGTGACAGCTCCCGGTGTCACAGGTGTTGCATATATAGGGGTTCAGATCTGATTGTCATGGGGAGAGCCCATGTCTGGGGAGCAGGAGGTGTCTGCAGCAGGGGGCTGGCACTGCTGGCTCCAAGGTGTGCCTCTTTCTGCAGCAGACCCGATTCAGGAGCGCCCGTGAAACCCACGCTCTGTCTTGCTGGAACTGTCATTCTGCGTCATGTTCTGTGCCAGCAAATTTAGTTGAGGAACTTCCTGCTCTGAACTACTTGCATCTGCCCCCATACTGTGGTTATTAAATAGTGGGTGTGATTGTGCTTTAAACTGGATGATACGATACAGTAAGCAAGGCTACTTCCCCCACTTGCCCCCTATTAAAAAAAAAAAAAGTGTTTTTTAAAAATACTGATTTTGTAGATCTAATTTGGAATCAGCACAGCAGAAGGGGCAATGATGAGTGTCTGTGAATTGGGTGAGAGGAGCCTCTTGAACCAGAGCAGCTGCTGGAGGAGTCTCAGCGCGGAGCTTCTGCCGTGATGAGCGGCAGCTTGGAAGCGCAAGGACCCGGGAGCCGGCTCCAAGCTCGTGCTTCCCACCGGGCACTCGGATCGCCTCTCCCGAGGGTGCTCCGTGCTGAGCAGAGCTCCAGGCTCAGCAGAGGTTTCCAGCTGAGCGTTGCAGGGGCCGTGGTTGTGCACAGAGCGTCTCGGCGCTGCCGCAGAGGGCTCAGGCGGGACCGGGAGGGAGGTTCTGCTGCTGGCGGGTGCAGATGTGTTTCTAGGCAGACGATGGATGTTAGCAGCGAGGAGAAAAACGTGTGCTTGGGCTTTCAGTGGGAAACAACAACAACGAAAATCCTTTCCATTGCTTAGAGCTGGAAAATGATGCCAGGAGCTGTTGTTTTAGAGAGCAAGAAGTCTGGATTTCTGTGCCCGTGTGCGAGATGCACATTTGAATGTGTATGAGGAAACTGAAGGGCACAGAAAGCAGGTTTTATTGCTGACTGTCACTGTTCAGTGAAAACCAGGTGTGTTGTGGAAATCTCTTTAGGTATATCTTTAAAAAAAAAAAAAAGTCATTTTCTTGTTTCTTTATGTGTAAACACATCTGTGTCTGCTGTTGTCAGAAGAACTGGTGCATGCTCTAATGGCAGAGAAGTAACAGCTCAAGGTGGGCTGGAGGCTGCAGCGCCCAGGTAAAACCTACCTGTGTTACACGTCCAAGGGCAGAATCAGCTTTGCCGTGCGGAGACCAAATGTGCTAGTGAACTTCTGGAGGTGCTTGCCAGCTCTCCCTCACTTTTACCTAGGCATCTGGCAAATCATAGAAGAGCTGATGATGGAGTAGTGTATTATTATTATACACGACAGGCAGCACTGAGCACTGGTGCACTGAAAACTGCTGCTTGGACAGAAATGATTTTTTTTTTGCGGTGTCTGCCCTTAGACGCCCCGAAGGCCTGGCCTGAGCTGCAGGGAAGGGCATCTCTGAGAGGCTGCTGCTCTCCTCGGGGAGTGGGTTGGGACAGTGTCCGGGGAGCCCCGAGCACAAAGCTGCTGGGTTTGGTTCTGCTGTTTATTGAAAACAGGCTTTTGTACAGCAGGAACGGAAAATCCTATTTCTGTACCAATGAAAACTCTGCTCCTATGGTTGTTATTATTGGCAAACTTAGTCGCTTTGGTGTTTATAGAAAAGTATTTACTGGGCAGGGCTGGATGGCTAGCAAGCTTCATCTGCTTTCATTTTGCTTTGATGGCACATGGGTTTCTGTGGAACCTTCTGCTCTGTCCCCTGCCCCAGTCCGTCCTTCCTGACTCCTCTCCCTCTTCCACAGCCTGGAGAGGCAGCGCCGTGTGCCTTAGTGGGATAACAGACTCCGTGGGACTAGCCCGAGCTCTTCCCTCTGGGCTGGCGAGGGAGGCAGGTTGGTGGCAGTTCTCAGTCTCCCACACAGAGCCCCAAAGTGAAGCTGTTTGCTCTGTGGCACTTGGGCTACACCTCGTTGGGGTAGGCCCAGTTGCCCCTAACAGTAGTAAATGCAGAAAG